CCCCTCAGGCAGGTCCTGCATGACCATCCTGACCATGGCACGCTACGAGTGGTTCGAGGAGTGGGCAGGGACCCGGCCCCGCCACCGCGGCCCGGACTACCAGGGCTACAAGATGGACATCGCCCAGCGGCTGCTGGACAGGGCTCTGCAGCGCTTCCCACACCTGCGGGACAAGGTGACCCAGGGGACAGATCGGGGTGTCCCCAGAGGGGTCTGTCCGTGCCCCCCGCCACCCCCTGAGCCTCCTGAGTCCCGCTGCAGGTGGATTTTGTGGAGGCGGCGACCCCGCTGAGCAACCAGCACTACCTGGGGGCGGCGCGGGGGGAGATGTACGGCACCGAGCACGACCTGCGCCGCTTCAGCCCCGCCGTGGTGGCCGCCCTGAGACCCGACACGCCCGTCAGGAACCTCTACCTCACAGGTGAGGTGTCCCCGTGTCCCCGTGTCCTGCTGTCCCCGTGTCCTGCTGTTCTGGTGTCCTGCTGTCCTCGTGTCCCGCTGCCCCCCTGACCGGCTCCGGGAGGTGGACGGTGTCCCCATGGTTGTAGCCGCGTCCCCTGTGGCGGTGACGGGGTGTCCCCATGGTGCCCGTGTCCCCCGTGGCGGTGGCGGGGTGTCCCCATGGTTGTGGCCGTGTCCCCAATGGCAGTGACTCTGTTCCACTCTGGGGTTGTGCCCGTGTCCCCTGCTGTGTCCCCATGGTTGTGGCCATGTGGCCGTGTCCCCATGGCGGTGACGGGGTGTCCCCATGGTTGTGGCCGTGTCCCCCATGGCGGTGGCTCCGTTCCACCCTGGGGTTGTGCCCCTGTCCCCCGCGGTGTCCTCATGGTTGTGGCCGTGTCCCCCATGGCGGTGGCTCTGTTCTGCCCCGGGCATGGGGTGTCCCCATGATTGTGCCCGTGTCCCCCATGGCTGTGGCAGGGTGTCCCCATGGTTGTGGCCGTGTCCCTTGTGGTGGTGGCTCCGTTCCACTCTGGGGTTGTGCCCCTGTCCCCCGCGGTGTCCCCATGGTTGTGGCCGTGTCCCCCATGCCGGTGGCTCTGTTCTGCCCCGGGGATGGGGTGTCCCCATGGTGCCCGTCTTCCCCGCGGCGGTGGCGGGGTGTCCCCATGGTGCCCGTGTCCCCCGTAGCGGTGGCGGGGTGTCCTCATGGTTGTGGCCATGTCCCCGTGCCGGTGGCCCCGTCCCGCCCCGGGGGTGGGGTGTCCTCATGGTTGTGGCTCTGTCCCCCGCGGCGGTGGCTCTGTTCCACCCTGGGGTTGTGGCCATGTCCCCGATGGTTTGGCCATGTCCCC